TGTGGACAACGCCCAGAAAAACAAAAAACCAGCGGAACACCTTTACTGTGGCCTAACCACTGCGGTTACCAACAAAATAAATAAATTTTGGTCAAATACTACAAGTGAAATAAGAACTACATGGTGTGATGGGGGGGGGGAGTGCAGGGGTTGATTCACAAGCTCAGGCATGCATCACTGCCACCTCACACGTTCGTCAATACTGCCTTGCGAACACATTAAGGGCGACGTTTCAGGCAGTGGCCTTCAGCAGCGTCAGCAGTAGAAACAGCAGACGCAGTAGCTGCAGCAGCGTTATCAGCAGCACCATAGCGCAGAATGAAGGTTTAGGCAAAGAGCCTTCTTCAGGAGCAGAGGTTAACCAATTTACAGTAGGAGACTACACTTAAGTGTGGGATCCTGAGAAAAGGAGTAACATTTTGAACAACTTCGACAAAGGAGCCGTTTTTAATTGACATATGAAGAAGTTCCCCATTGGCAGACCGTACCTGTGATGATTTCAAAGAAAAAAAACGCGCATGGATTTGAAAATGCAGTGTTCAATTAGGATGCCCACAGACGGATGGCGATCTTGCCAACTAGTGAACAGCCTGTGTTTAGAAAAACGGAAGCCACCAACACCGCAAATGCAGCCCACACAGAGACAAATGGCACGCCCCATTGGATAATGAATGCCACTTGATAAATTCGATGATTGGGCCCACGAATTACTAATTCCCACCACTGATAAGAGCAGAGACTTGATTATGAAGACCCAGTGTTGATGGGGGACGCACAGCTGGCGTTGCTGACACAAGTCCACATCAGCAACTATCACAGCCCCTGATCCCTGGCAAACTTTGGACTCTTCAGCACCCACCGCCACCAGCCGCTGGTAGCAGCAGCCCCTGACAATGCAGCACCAACCTCCATCACTGTTACTCGTTTCCATTACCAATCTAAAAAAAACACTGCCACTCGCGGGGCAGAGCTGAACCTGCAGCTCTGTACCACACCGACACCAGGGTTGTGTGTAAGGGGGGCTAGACTTTGGCTCAAGGTCAGATCCATAACCCGACCAGAGTCTGGGTGGTGCGCACACCGTTTCTGCGGCATGGGTGAGAGTGTGAGTCAGGGTTATGGTGGAGCATCATCAAGTTGGGCACAGTTAGGGAGATTGCGAGCGTGTATTTGATTGTGCTAGGTAAGGGATAGGGTGTGTGTGTGGGGTGTGCCCATGTACTGCAGTGCGTTGTGTGGGTGTACAGGAGATGCGAGTGAGTGTGCCATGGAGCAGCGGGTTATTGGGCGCGTTCTTCAATGCAGTTTGGGTGAGCACCACCACTGCAGTGTGGGTTGGGCTATGCCAGTGCGTGGGTACACACACAGGTGAGTTTTACAATGTAGTACGCACACACTAACACGCAATGTGCGTGTGTGTGTGCACTGCCCCAATGCAGTGAGTGGGTGGGCTTGCTCTTTGGTGCAGTGCGGTGCGTTGGTGTGCGCCGGTGTGGAACCGTGCCAATCAAAGCGCAGAACCATCGATTGGCACGGGGACGAATCAAATCTAAGCGTTGCTGCTCCATGCGGTTTGGGTAAGGAACGGGGTGGTGGGAATTTATGGAAAGTGTTTAATGTCTCAAGATTCATGCGCGTGTTGGGTGTAATAACAATAACAGCGCATCGCTTTGAGGTCTCAAGACCGTTTTTCAGGATGCTTAACTAGTGCCAGTCATGAGTGGTGTGGGGGGGGCGGCATTGTGCGTGTGGCACATGGGGGTGTAAGATGTTGGATTGGCGTGCGAGATTGCGCGTGCGATGCACGGGATTTGGGTGGGGGTGTGCCAGTTAAAAAATAAATACACGAGAGTTCTTAAACCGAAATAAAAGTTATAATCTCTCAACCTCGGCCTTAAACTCGAGTACTTGGTGCAATGCCGTCATGGATAAATCAGGACCGGAGGAGACAAACGTGGCCAGGATCCTTGGTGCTGGTCGCACCCACATTTATTGTGGACCACAATTGATCCTTATGGCAGTACCCCGGGGTACCAAATAATACAAAATGGGCCGAGGCAATTCAAGATTTTATTTCTGGGACACAATTTTTTCCAGGGGTGTTACTCAACTCCACGACTGGGGTAACCAATCAATCCGAAATCGGTGCCACACTCCGCGATGTCGAAACGCAGCGAGGACGATTGCGCCGAAACCCCGAACGCTTGCGGTACGCACCGTGGTGGTGCATCGTGTACAGCTTGTCGAGATGAGTCGATTGTTGATGGTCGGCGATGCGGCAGACTACAAATGACTGCATTGCAGACATTGTGCGAGAGCCGGGTACCGCCATAAGGTTCAATTACCTACATTTGGTCTTCATCAACACAAGTTCTCCCAGTCAGGGCAGGGGGTGGGAGTTGCCTCAGACAATCATCATCACCCTCCCCCTAACTCCATGCCATGTACCCACTGTGGCAAGGAAATTATTTGTCCTGGGAAAGGATTGTTCCCCACCATAGCAAATGTGGAATTCTCACCACTACCCCAAGGCCATCAACGGAGAAGAACATGTGCCCTAGACGAATTCGTTAGGGACACATTTGGATGCTTATTTGGTCAAAAATCATTTTATATTGTACCATTTTCTCCATAAAGCGTCCACGGGGCCCTCACCAAGTCCCAACTGCAGGTGCAACACTTAAAATGAATGGTTCTTACACGAAATATATATGGCTACAGACATGTCAAAGCACACCATCTCTAAGGAACTTCAATAAAACTCAACGTTAACTCTCAAAAGACGTTTTTGGAATTTAACCACCATTTAACTAACAAATGCGTCTCTTTTTTAATAGGACACAAGAAAATATATCCACAATACGTTTCATGTTACATTGTCCACCGATATAAATTCGTACCACCTAAGTTTAAGTGCCTCTGACGCTACCAACTGATTCTCTGGTATGTAAACTTGAGATTTGATGCAAGTAAGAATTGTCCGTGATCAGGCATAGTACGCACATTAAAGAGATTATTACATCCATCCGTGCAGACCTGTGTGCGTTTATCCCGTAGTGGGTGGGTTTTCTCCAGGCACGCAACAATCTCCTCTCGTATCATTCCCAAACGGAATGGGCCAAACATCCCAATGTAGCAAGCAGGACCCGCCTGAAAAGGAGTCTTGAGGCTTGCTGATTTTGGGTAAGTAGTAAGGATAATGATTGGAGGACGAGGAAGAGAAGGATTATACTGTTAAGAACTGATTGTTCACAATTCAAGCGAATATTTTATAATAAAAACAGTGCAATATAATTGTTACTGCCTACTCTACAACTTCAAACCAGACTAACCATTGCATATTTCAGTGCATGTGGCAAGCGTGCTGCTGGGAGACTGAAAAGTTTGTGTTACCCCCCAAACGGTAACTCCGTTTGTACGCGATTTAACCGCGTTCCTGACGGGCAAATCACCAACTTCCCAATCAATCAATAAACCCGTGCCGTGTAAACCACCGCACTGAACGCGGCGTTCCGGATAGGTCATGGCATTACCGCATCTCTCTGGATTTGTAATAGGACACATCTCCCCCCCCCCGGTGTATTCTAATAACAATGTTGAGTGTGCGCGCGTCTAATAAATCCGGTAGCCGTGTGTGCATGTGTGACCAGATTTGAGCAACTATTTGCACAGATTCTCAGTGCGTCTTACTTTCTGGAGTCTCGTATTATTCGGAGAATACGGTATTGACGCTCATGAGATTTTCGCCGACCACACAGCCAAGCAAATGTTATTTTTTGTTTTAAAAATCACGGTTGCTGAACAAAAGGTCCAAAAAGAAGTGTGGCGGAGGGGGGGGGGGATTCCAAAAAGTGAATATCGAAGGAAGAAGCGAAAAGTACTATAGTGTACCCCTGCAGTGTGGTGGTGCTCGAGTGATTTGATCGTGTAATCAAGTTGGGATGCTGATGACCTGCAGTGCTGTTTGGTTGTGAACAGTCAGATGGACCAGAGTCCTCTCTACGGAGTGGAGGAATCGATGAGTAATCAGTCTAGCAGTGATAGACGAGAGACGCTCCGATGTGAAAATCGAGAAATTAATTGGAGGAGGCTTGGCAATGTGTACGAAAGGCACTCGCTGCGTTGTTGTGGAGGCAGCAATACAAATAAAGGCACCGCCCTGAAATTGCTCGCTCAAACCACTGCTGGCAGAAGGACCTCTCGTCAAGGGAGAGACACTTTTAACTTGCGATATTTGGCTTATTCTTCCACAACTAGCCAGACCTCTGGCCAGCGATAATTGGCAGTGCCCACACTTTATACCATCACACGCGCAAGTTAGAGCCATTTGACGGTGGTGTAACCCCCCCATTTGCTGTGCGAACAAAACAAAAGACACTTTTGGCACAACACTGTTTCACAACTGCCACGCCGGGAGATCAGTCGACGTCCACCAATGTGCCAACCTTGACGACCACAGCGGCAATGTTCGAAACATTATGGGTAAATAAAAGTTTCGTAACTTTAAACTGAGTTTAAAAAAAAAAAATCAGCCTGTGAAAGCCATCAAATAATCATACAAAACGTACTCTCAATCCACTGCTGGATGAAATTCGTATCCAGTAGAGGTTTAATCACGCAAACTCTACGTAAGTTTCGGCATTACGGGTCTCATCAGCACACATCACTATTGACCTACCACGGATATCGAAATGAACCGCTCCTGGGTGGGCCCCCTTAACAAATCCACAATGACCAGCGTGGTGAAGTATAGTTAAACCACTCGCACAACGTATGGGGGGGGGGCCTCATCCAGCAATGAATTGCCCCCCAAGACCATCTAACAAAGTGAACATTATGAACGGCCCCTTAAGACCGCTCCACAGCGTTTGTCCTACTGACAACACTCGCCCACGCCATGGGAATGTGGAGTTTCCACCACTGGCTCAGGGCTTTTAATGACCGCCACACCACCAGGACAACTTCGCGTCCTGCCACCGCAAATCAAAACACTCGCTTACCTATGGACACCAGCTTGATGTTCTCCTTGTCCAGGAACTCGAGGGCCACGGACACGTTCTCGAGTTGCATCTGCCTGAAGGTGGGCCTGGGGTTGTGCTTCCGATACATCCTCTTCTGGCTGAGCACCTCCAGCAGGGCGATGAGCCGCAGGCCGTCGGAGAAGTCCTTCTGCAGGTCTCCGAGCCTCTTATTCACGCACTTGAGGTGCTCGTTGCACCAGCGTGTGAACGTGTTCTGCTGGATCTTCTTCCACGGAGCGTCCTCCGCCAGGTCTCTATCGGTGGCCGGCATGGTCGAGATGGTTGTTTTCGTGGTGGCTCCACTACCGATGGGATTTCTGGTGGTGGTTGTGGTGGTTGTTGTTGTTGCTGCTCGCTCTGACTTTCTCAATGTCTCTGCTACTGCTGCTGCTGCTAGCTGGCGTGAACTTTGCTGCTGTTGTTGTTGTCGCTCCTCCACCAACAAGAACTTGCACCCAGAGTGTCTCCACTTGCTGCGACTGCGGCGGTGCACGGGGTGTGGCTGCCTCTGCGACGCTTATAAAGGACCCGCGGAGGGGGAGGGGCTAGCAGGGAGTGGTGGTTGAGTGGTGGTGGTGGTTGTGGTTGGTGGTGGTGTTGTGTGGAGGTGGGGGACACTCACGAAGTTGGTGGTGGTGGTGGTGATAAGGGGTGGGGCGTGTGTGTGTGTGTACAGACACACCGACACATTGACACTGCGAGCGAGTGAATGACGTCTTCCACTTACACACACGCACTTACGCGCAACGTACACAGTGCAGAAACTGTGTACACACACACCTACACACCTACACACGACGTATACTGCAGTATATACTGTACTACTGTAATATATACACTCGAGTCTTCACACAGACACACCTGTACTGCACACTTCACGGTGTGTAACTTACACAAACAGTGCTATGCACACACACAAAGCACACTCACACAATGAACTCACTGCACTCACACACGCACGTGCTTTGTATTAATATAAAGACGCAGCTACTATAGTGCACAACATGAAATGCTCACTCGTACTGTATTGTAGTGGCACAAAGACAAAGATCCCCCGTGTAGCCTAACTAGACTTGGGAAAAGTGCTGTTAACGAGGACCTATCATTGCCGGCAAGGTACACGAGCAGGTTGCGTGATCATCACCACGAAAAGAAGTCACGGTGCAGACACTAAACGAATCCAGGCACACATACAGTGCACACACATTCAGTATGCACACACACACCACGCTTAGAAGTGTCTAGGGCCTTTGAATGTTTTGAAGTAACCCGTGTCACACACGTTGTGGTTAAGAGTCTGTATCCCCTTACCCACGTGTGCTGTATGTACACAACAGCAGTGTCATTGCCATTCCACACGTGTCATTTTACACTGAGTTTGCGTGAATATATGATGGAGATGGGGTCATCAAATCAGTTTGTGGGGCAGGTGCTAGGTGATTGTATCGCAGCAGGAAGCTTGGGGGATGCCTTCATCCAGCAGTGGACTGAGCGTGGCTGATGAGTGGTGTACCCCGGTTGCGTGCAAGTGCACTCAATAGTGCACCTAGCCTGGCACAAACGCTGCGGTGACGTCGCCATCACTCTAGTGACCCATTGGCGATTGCAATTCGTATGCACAATGTGTCACGCGTGTAATTTATGTACAGCACTATTTGTCAATTCACTGCTGGATGAAGAGCTCCCGCCGTTGGGGAGGAGGGTGGTGGGTATTTGACCAAACTTTACCACGTGAGTGAATATGGTCCAGTGAATGAATAAGTGTATATACATTCTAGATTTGAAGCTTTCGTGACTGCAAGGATTCATACTCTTAGGTTTTTTTCGGTAAAATAATAAAAATAATAGAAATAAAAGCAAATTATTTTATTATAAATAAACAAAAATAATAGAAATAATAATAGAAATAAAATTATTTTATTTTATAATAGAAATAAAATACAATTATTTTATTTCTATAATTTCTATTATTTTTATTATTTATTTTTACCTACGTGACTTTACCGAAAAAAACTAAGAGTAAGTATATATACAGTATAGCATAAGCACGTGTGCCTTAAATCTGTATTAAAATGTAGCGCGCACGTGTTCGCACTGTAGGCGCGTGGGAGGAGCCTGGGGTCCGGGTAGGAGGAGCCCCGTGAGTGGATGATGCCTCTAAAACTCTTCACTGTGGCTCTAACTTAACAACTCAAAGTTATTAACTTACGTTTATACCTCCAACCCTTAACTCTGACGTCTAACTTTAACCCTTCAAATGTATCGTTCCAACCTTTCAGTACTTAAGTTTAATTATTTACTTAATCGCTTAAATATATATCTCACAACATCGAACCCTTAACTCAACTCCTTAAGTTGTATAATTACAGCCCTTAACTCCAACTCTTAACTTGATACTTCTAACCCTAAACTCCAAACAGTTACCTAATCACCTCAAGTCCTTAACTCAAATCATCAATTCTAGATTTGAAGCTTTCGTGACTGCATGGATTCATACTCTTAGTTTTTTTCGGTAAAGTCACGGAGGTAAAAAGTAAAAAAAAATGAAATTAAATCACGACGTTTCGGAGGCAACACAAGCTTCCTTCATCAGGTGTAAAAAGGCACAGCAAAATAACAGCAAATTAACTGTTATTTTGCTGTGATTTAATTGATTTATTTTCATTTATTACTACTATTTTTTACCTACGTGACTTTACCGAAAAAACCTAAGAGTATCAAATCAAATCCAATAACCAAATCTCAATCCCCCTAACTCCAGGGGAACAGGTGAGGCAGGAAAAGAACCTCTCAATTCACCCCCTGCCTCACCTGGGGGACACCTGTAGCCAATGCAACCACTTAACCTGTAATGAAGGTGAGCGGCATCTCCCCCCCCCCCCAGCTAATTAGCATTGGACGCGCCTACGTGGGTTTAACATGAGTTGGAATGTTCCATTCTGATGTCGAGGTGCATGGGGGGGGGGGGTTCTGGGTGTGGTCATTGGAATGATGAGGGGAGGGGCCAGGAAGATGATTCATCTCCGGCACGGATAAATCATTACTCACCATAATCTGCATCATGATCGTCATCAGCAGCATCAATATAATTCGTATCAGCATTAATCATCAACAGCAGCGTAATCATTAGCAATACTCTTTAAAAGAGTTGATCACCAACTAGTATATCAGCATTGTAAACAATGGTGATATCGTTATTGTATGATCAATCATGATGAATCATCAAGCAACAACAATATAATTACAATTGTATATACAATATGTTGAACTTCTTTCACACCGTACGTTCGGAGACCGGGGATTGCCTGAAGAAACCCCCCACACACACGAGTGGCACACACTCAAAGCTCCCACACAGATGCATTCAAGAATGTATGGCTGTGTCTACGAAACTAACTGCAGTACAAAGATCAATATTTGCCCGTGTAAGCTGGTGCTGTTAGCAAGTACCTCTCGTTACGGGGGGGGGGGGGGGGTGGCCAACACCACGCCCGACTACCTTTGTCTCCCTCTTGCGATGTTTTCACATCGCACCAGGTACTAATTTGAGGCCGAGTCGACCTAGGGGAGGCCCAGAACCGGTTCTGATAATCGTCACCGGTGTTGGTACCGAGTGCGGAAATTGAACTCATAGCGGAGCGCGCTAACCGCTCCACCACCGCTCCCCACACCGCTAACTACATGCAGCCATGGCTAACTACATAAAACACACACACGCGACCCAATAAAGTGTCTCGTTATCTCGATGATAGTTGTTTGTTGACTGAAATTCCTGGAGAACCCCCACCACCAACAACAACCACCACCACCACCAACAACCCCCACCAACAACCACCAACAACCCCCACCACCACCAACAACCCCCACCACCACCAACAACAACCCCCACCACCACCACCAACAACCCCCACCACAACCAACAACAACCCCCACCACACAATCACGAGGAGACATCCCGCGCCTCCCTCCCTCCCAGCCAGACAAACAGGGAGTGAGTCACTCAGTCCCCACTGCCAGCCCACCCCCACTCATTCAACTTTACCCCTCCCACTCATTCCCCGTCACTCCCCATTCCCCTTACCCCCCCCCACTCATTCCCCGTTACCCCCCCCCCCCCACTCATTCCCCGTTACCCCCCCCCCCCACTCATTCCCCGTCACTCCCCATTCCCCTTACCCCCCCCACTCATTCCCCGTTACCCCCCCCCCCCCACTCATTCCCCGTTACCCCCCCCCCCCCCCACTCATTCCCCGTCACTCCCCATTCCCCCTTACCCCCCCCCCACTCATTCCCCGTTACCCCCCCCCCCACTCATTCCCCGTTACCCCCCCCCCCACTCATTCCCCGTTACCCCCCCCCCCCCCACTCATTCCCCGTTACCCCCCCCCCCCCCACTCATCACCGTTACCCCCCCCCCCCCCACTCATTCCCCGTTACCCCCCCCCCACTCATTCCACGTTTACCCCCCCCACTCATTCCACGTTACCCCCCCCACTCATTCCACGTTACCCCCCCCCACTAATTCCCCGTTACCCCCCCCCCCCCACTCATTCCCCGTTACCCCCCCCACTCATTCCACGTACCCACCCCCCCCCCCCCCTCATTCCACGTACCCCCCCCCCACTCATTCCACGTTACCCCCCCCCCACTCATTCCACGTTACCCCCCCACTCATTCCACGTTACCCCCCCCCCCCCCACTCATTCCATCATTCCACGTTACCCCCCCCCCACTCATTCCACGTTACCCCCCCCCCACTCATTCCACGTTACCCCCCCACTCATTCCACGTTACCCCCCCCCCCCCCTCATTCCACGTTACCCCCCCCCCCACTCATTCCACGTTACCCCCCCCTACTCATTCCACGTTACCCCCCCCCACTCATTCCACTTTACCCCCCCCCACTCATTCCACGTTACCCCCCCCCCCACTCATTCCACGTTACCCCCCCCCCCCCACTCATTCCACGTTACCCCCCCCCCCCCCCCACTCATTCCACGTTACCCCCCCCCCCTACTCATTCCACGTTACCCCCCCCCCACTCATTCCACGTTAACCACCCCCCCCTCATTCCACGTTACCCCCCCCCCCCACTCATTCCCCGTTACCCCCCCCCCCCCACTCATTCCACGTTACCCCCCCCACTCATTCCACGTTAACCCCCCCCCACTCATTCCCCTTACCCCCCCCCCACTCATTCCACGTTACCCCCCCCCCCACTCATTCTCCGTTACCCCCCCCCCCACTCATTCCACGTTACCCCCCCCCCCCCCACTCATTCCACGTTACCACCCCCCCCCCCCCACTCATTCCACGTTACCCCCCCCCCCCACTCATTCCACGTTACCCCCCCCACTCATTCCACGTTAACCCACCCCCCCCCCCCCCTCATTCCACGTTACCCCCCCCCACTCATTCCACGTTACCCACCCCCCCCCCCCACTCATTCCCCGTTACCCCCCCCCCCACTCATTCCACGTTACCTCCCCCACTCATTC